ACAATAAATCAACCATGTAAACAGTTCAATGTCATTTTAATAGAGTGGGAAGAAGTGACATTCCACAGTGACATTTTGTTCCATCGGGAGCTGAACACTGACAGGTGTAGCTCCCACTGTCCTCTGATGTTAAATTGATCAGGTGGAGAAACACAGTCTGATTTTCTTTCATCAGCGTAAACCTGGAGTCACATTAATGAACAAAGCCCCGTCCATATTCCTACAGCAGAAAACAATTTCCTCCTTCCACTCTCTTATTCTGATCTTACAAACGATCAGCGTGGTGATGTTCTGTCTTTCATATTTGAGTGAAATCTGGTTGTTTCCCAATTGTTTTCCCAACAGTTTCTGAAATCAGTAACAATAATACAAACAGCCTGAATGATTTGAACCAGAGGCTTGAGTAGCATTAAAAACTAAATATTACATTATGAAAACATTACCTCCTCCTAAATCTTGTGAGCATGCAGTTGGTGGTAGAAGCAGAATGAAGTACAGCTTTAGTGCATCCATATTTGTCCAGGTGTCACAGTCACAGTCACTGCTGCTGACAGTACAGACGATGTTGTACTGAGAGTTGTTAATAAAGTACGTCTTTGTCAGAATGCTTCTATAAAGGAAGTGCATGCACGTGACCGCTTCTGCTGTCATATTAAAACTATGTCAAAGTGAAGCACTAAGCAAACTCAAGGAGTTACATAAAACTCTTTTCTCTCTCACAGCGTTTCGTGCTGGTCGAAAGCTTCTGCAAAGGAAGTATATGGATGATCACTTCTGCTTTAAGTTAAAGGCCCTCTAAAAGTAAAACACTGAACAGAATCACACACAAAAACTAAACATACTCATCTTCATCTCAGTGGGCGTGTCACACACGTAACTGCCATGTTTGTTGACATTTACACACTCAAAATACTTTAACCTCCTAACACCAGAACTCTTCCACGTCATGCATTTTTAATTTCTCTTTGATATTTGGGCTGATTGGGACCCGATGAATGTAAAAACAACGAATTACCTGAATTATTTTTTTTTTACCTGATTTTTTTTTTCTAAGAAAAATGAGAGCCACATATGAGGATATTCGTTTAAAATTTAGATAGAAGAGTAGCAGTATAATGTCCTCGTAAGTGGATATCAGGCCCTTGAAGAGCAAAATTGATTATTTTAGAATAAATAACCCAAAATGTGATGTCCACATATGTGGACGCCAGGTCCAAGGTTAAAGGTTAAAATAGTGAGTAAACACATGACTACAGAAGAAAAACCAGGAAGAGTTTTTAACTGTTTTGTTTTAGTTTAGAAACAAACTCATGCCTGGAATTAAGAGCTGACGATGGTGAAATGTTAGTTTTCATAAACTTTCAAATACACAAGGATTCATATTGACACAGTTTGTATTTGCAAAAGGACACATCTGTGAACCTGTTTAGTTAGTTAGTTGTTATAAAACGTGTCCAGTATGAAAGATGTCTTGTCATAATGATAATCCAAAAATATTTATATCAGAGCAATATTACTCACGTGTCATGTTTCAAAATGTTTAAATATTGTCAAAAACAAAAGTGTTTGACTATCGAGGCTGACAGCTTCTGTTCTTCTGGCTGAATAATCACAACAGCAGACACTTGATATTCTTAATTTGTAGTGCTGTCGTGCTGAGGGTGATCTGAGGTGATAGTTTGGTAGAGATCATTTGTTGGATGCTGAAGGTTTGTGTAAGAATATTCTTGGACATCTTCATCCTGTCAGAAGATAAAATTAAAACTCATACAGCATAATTATATTAAGTCTGACTTAATTATGCTGCAAACATGTTACTGCTGAATAAAATCACTTTTTATTTTATTTGGACATTTTCATCCTGTAAAATAAAATTAAAAGTCTGATAAAAAACTCAAGGTGACCCAAGGTGTGTTGAATCAAAGTAACTTCACAAAAACAGCCTCAGCCAACATTTTGAAATAGAACTGGAAATAAAACAAACTTTAAACCTGCTGCTTTGTCTTTACAAGGAAATTACTCACCAAAGAGCCGTGAGTCTCATTCACTGACAGTCCAGATGTTTCTGACCTTGAACAGCCACTTTGGATAACAAATGATGTTAGCATCACTTTTTTATGATCAATATGTCTGATAAA